CATACAAAGATTAATATTTAACTATTTTCGTTTGCTCGAGATAACTCGGGATTGTAAACTAATATTAAAAATAAATGCTTTTACACCTTCAAAAAATGAAAAATTCAACTTAAAACCTACATATTTTGATTTGTTTCGTTTTTTTGTATTTAATAATAAAATTAAAAAATGTGATGATTTTTTGCAATTTTTTTCAAAAAAATTTGTAAGGGAAGCGGTTAAAGTCTCACCTCAAAGGTCATTATTTTAACAGCACTAAAGACATTCGGAAAACTGTAACCAGAGAATTTGCTGTATTCCATGAGACAAGTTCTATAAACGAATCAAACACTTGTAGGAATGTGCTGAGCCGTAAGATTTTCAAGAATTGTTATGATGGCTGGATGTTCTTTTCTCGAAACTTTGAATGTGTAAATAAATAGAAGTCTGTCTTGCATTTTTTAAATTTTATTTTTATTTATTTATTTATTTATTTTACTAGATATTTCTGCCTTGCGTACACAATGTAGAATTTTTCCAATATTTTTTTTATCTTATTAATCGTTCTGTTTGCTTAGATGTTATGATTTTAAAACTTCTCATTTAAAAATTCGCTATTGCTTATATTTATAAAAGGGAGAAAAATAAATATGGAATATAATGACTGGCATTTTGATTAGATTAATTATTGTATGTGACTTGTATTTAACATTATACTTTTTTGTTTATTTAATAGCTTTTTCTGGGGGGGGTACATAAAATCAATACAGCAACTTTATATTTCATTTTTTGTTGCTTTTGTAAGTAAGTGCACCATAATCCTCATTTTGATCAAAATGTTGTTGTTTTTTGAATTTTTTTTTATTTCATTGCATTTGAATGTATAAGTTACCTGTCAGTATATATATTGATTTATTTTTAGGTCTAGGATCAATTCTGTTTGCCATTAGTATAGATAATCCAGATCTGAACATGCTTCGCCCATCTTCCTCAGAGTCTCTTTCTGATAATACAAAATGCAGTGCGCCTAATGATGAACTTGAACCTAAACCAGTTATATCGAAATCATATGAACAAGTCGCTGGTAAGATCATATAATAGTCTTTCTCGGTATAAGAGAGTTATATTCTCCTTAAATTAAATAAATAAAAAATAGCCACAATCTAAAGTGAATGTAACAATATTAATGAATGAAAACATGCATTGCTCGCCAGCAGCTGAGAGGTAAAATTGCTAAACACCAATAGTTCTGACATGACTTTGATTCCAGTCGAATGAGCTAATTGCATTGGCGTTTTTGGAGCTTTCCCCACATGTTACGGGTATACGAGCCAGTTTCTCTGAGAAAGAGAAAGTTCTTCACAAAGGCATCCCTTCCCTAAGGCAGGATGCCCTCCCCAGCTAAACCTAAACCGAAAGCTGTAAAAGCAACACATCTTTCACTGTGTGACACTTTGCTGATAAAATGCTTACATGGGAAGACTCAAAACAATAATGAGTGTTTTAATAACCTTTTGAGGACTATTTTACCTAAAGAAACTTTTGTCCAACTAGGTGCACATATTGCTGTATTATTATTTAATTCAAAATATTTAGGACTTTTACCTATTTTCAGGTATATAGAAATAGAAATTAATCGCACTATGCTTGAAAGCTACATAGGAATAGACAAACGGGGAAATTCAGAAAATCGGAACGCCCATCTCTACAAGCAACAAAGTTATCCAGAAAAATGCTAAAAGAAAGTCAAAATTAGTTAAGAATGAAGTAAAAGAGGGCCTAACATACAATACGGCGAGCTTTAAAGCTTTAAAGGTCTAAAGTGGCTACAAAATTTTTTGTGCTGTATTAAAATTATTAAATGCATTTTCTGAGAAATTGTGTTTTTCGTTACTTTAGAAAGCGATTACGTTAATTTCTCAAAATATATTTAGAATATTGAAATGAAAATTTTGCCAAAATGTTTTATTCATCTTTAGCTGTGTTCTGTAACAAAATCTGACCTCTTTGTATTTATTTATTGATTTTATTGACAGTGTTTTGAAGAAAAAGAGGATTTTTTTTTTTTATGTTAATTTTGAGTTTTTATACTAAGTTTTGAATATTTTCAAAAAAATTTTATAAGTACAGCAAATCTTTTGCTTCAGAACATAGGTAGGTAAGGTATGTTATTTATATACTGTGTAAAGATTATTGAAGTATATTCGTTAGAATTTATTATAGGAGATCTGGCATAAATGAAATTTTCACTAAAATTTTTACTAAATATTGCATATATTTGAAAATTAATGAAACATTCTACAAAATCCCATTTAAATTCATAGTTTTGTATCCCATCTTACTCAAAAAACGTGCGTTTAATTAAAATTTTATGTATTTAAAAAAAAAGAATGCTTCATATGTAGGCACAAACCTTAAAAGAGCTGTGTTTTGATTAAACTTGTTTTTTTTATATTATTATTATTATTATTATTATTATTAAGTAAGAAACATTTTTCAAGGAAATGTTGCATATTATTTTTGGGTTTATTTAATTTAAATGTACTAATATTAGGGTATAAAAGTGAAAAATTTCATTTTGTATACTAGTTTTCCTTGAAAATGTTTGTTTTCTGTAATTTGCAGTGTTGATCTTTCACTGAAACAAAAAAATAAGTAAATAAACTTAAATTATTTTTCAAAACTTCTAAAAACGAACTGTTGTTTTCCTTCAAAAGTTGCAATTTTTTTTTCCCTTCCCTGAAGCCACTCCCCGGAACCAAAATCAGTCACTGGAGACTTTGTGTAAACAATATGAGTACATTGTTTTCATAGTACTGTTTTTGATTGATTATTTGTTGACATCAGTAGTATCAAGCTTCTAAATCAATGATAACAATATCAAACGGTAGACATAATGTTGAAAAACTGCATGGCATTTAGGGTTTTATCTTGTGTGAGTGTAATTTAAAAGACCCAACTAGACTGCCAACTGAGCTGTCCTCCATCTGTGAAAACTCCTATGAACAATATGCTCTGAAACTGCAAATTCTTATGAAGATTTAAAAATAAACTTTTAATTTTAAATTTGAACTTTATACTGGGATACAACTTGTGCATACAAATCAAACTCTGCCAATTGATAGTGCTAATATCAGAAAATTGAAAATACAATTTAAAACGGTCTCGTAGATACAGACAGCATTAATTTGCATATCTAAGCATTGGCTCAAACTTTTAATCGCGCAATTAAACTTTGGCTAGTAGAATAGCAAATTCGAGAATGCTAACTTAGTAGAGCTGGAGAGGGAAAATACAAGATGCGGGCATTGCTGCCAAAAGCTCTATATCTAAAACTTTCAAAACCCTGTCTTAAATACCGTATTTGCATAGTGCAAATCGGGATGTAGCACTAATGTCTAACTCCTTAGCAAGCTCTCGAGTGGTTGCATACTGATCTTTTCCATGAGTTCTCACAGGCAGGCCTCGTCAACATCAGTAGGCTGGCCAGTGTGCTTGGCTTCTTGAATGTTACAGTTCTTGTATTTGAACTGCCAGTGCTAAACCTTCACTGTGTCATATGATAAAGCATTAGTGCCTAAAGCTGTACTCATGTACACACCACGTTTTGCAACAGAACTGGAAGTAAATGATGGTTCTAATCTGGTAGCATGATAGTTCCATTTCAGACACCTTGTGCTTAATGATAACAGTATATTTTGCAAATATCACAACATACTGTTCTAAAGCAAGTGTCTTTCTTTCAAATGCCAAAAATCATTTCACAAAATATGATTGAGCATGCGAATGCGAACTGTCTGGATATTTGCAGTAGTAGGAAACTATCCTTCAAACCGGATATATTGTATCCTATTGTATATGACCATTTCCATTTTGTTTGCTGTTTTATGTACCATTACAATAAAGCATTATACGAAATAACATTAACTGAGGTCATCTCATCATTTAAATAATGGGGTTAGAGAAAAACGGGTATAAAATTAAAGTATTGTTCAAGTGTTTTGTTATTTAAGTTCATTAAATATGTTTTTATGACAGTACAAAATGAAAACTTATTTCATACAAATATTGCAATATAACAAATGAATATATAGAAATAAATAAAATTTTAAATCACCTTTTATGTTTTAGATCTTTCATACTTTTCTGCATTTCCAAATTACTTGTTTGTTTTTCTTTAATAAAGAAGGTATCTAATGTCATTTGCATATTCTTTTGTGCTCCGTAAGAAGTTGTCGATAATGGGACAAGGCATCCATAGCGCTCTGTCTTGCTTTTGATTTCTATCAAAACCTGCATCATTTTCAATAATCCATAATTTCCGCTATGGAAGCTAAACTGTTTTTAGAATAAAGTAGACCAAAACTTCTTTTTGCTATAGCTAAGTGCCTATAACTGAGCAATCTTCAAGGTGTTGTCCTTTATCATGACAGCCCTTGGCCCCACATTTCAATGAATGCTAGACAAAAACTTATTGGGGTTAATTGAGATATTTTGTATCAGCTCTTCTATATTCACTAAACCTTGCTCTCTCGAATTTTCAATCTGTTTAGTTAACTTTAAAAGTCTCTGAATGGTTGGAGCTCACTCCTGTAGAGACTGTCAAACAGCACACTGGTAACTTTTTTATGAATAAACTTAATGAGTTGTACACGAGAAATTTTCCAGCTGCCTTATAAAGGTTAAAATATCATAGAATAAAATTGGGCTTATGATATTCAATGAAAGTTTCTTATGTTTTTATACTGCTTAATTTGTATTTATCATAAAAAAAAAAAAAAAAAAAAAAAAACTCCAGAACTTTTGAATGACCCTTTCTTTCCTCAACAGCTCTCCTAATGAAGCAAATCACTTAACCTTAGTGTGCAAACTGAATGATAAATAAAATTTTATGTATGAAATACATTTAAATTCAACTTAAAATTCTTTAGAGAGATTCTTTCTGTAAAGCATTAGAGTATGGCTGAATCATATGTGTCTCTTGTAGAAAGTAATTTAGTAGAATAAGAGTTCATTAACTTTCCAATTTTTTATTTTACTTTTATTTATTAGGAACTGTGGCTGAAGGAGCACCTGTAGTACCAATTTCAGCACAATTAAAGTATAATATTGAAGTTATATGTGAATATATTGTGAAAAAAATACCAGTTCCTCTGAGGGATTTCACTTCAGAACCAAGACTGATAGGTATATTTTACTAATTACTAAAATCTGTAAACGTTTGAATGGAGAGCAGTTTTTTTTTATCTCTATCTAAATGCACTTCTAAAAACCATATTTGTTGTATTTTTTTTTTGGTAAAATTGGTGGGATGTACTAAGATTTTCTCAAGCTCTACAGTTTAAAACATTTAATTATAATTTTTTAGTGTCTTCAACTCATTATTTTTTCATTCCTGAAGACATTATGCAAAACCTCGTTTCTGTTCTTCACCCCCCCTTTTAATGGTTAATTTGAATTCAGTAATATTTCATGTAATGTCGGTCGTACTTGATTTTGTCCAGTAGTAATAGTTTAATTTAGTATATTAATATTTGATGTAATTTATCCCCTTTTTAAAATTATATTGTAGTATATTTAGAACTGATAGAAGAATCACTTCTTAACTTCATATCAGCTGCCCAAATTTCAACATTGTGTGACTTAGGTGGGAAAGGCTAAATCAAATGCTTTCTTAACATTCTTCCCCCTTCCCCGGAAAAATTAATCCAAGTATTTGGAAACTCCTCTGTTATGTTCAGTTTTTACAATTGGGAGAAAAAAAAAAAAAAAAAAAAAAAAAAAAAAACAGCGGTGTTTTTTTTTTTTTTTTTTTTAATTTATAGCTTGTTACAAAATAGTCTCGTTTGTATAGTGTTTGTAAGCATGATGAATTCCAGAAATATGCATGTAATCCAAAGCAGTTGGATCACTTGTTCTGCAAAATTAAAATAGTCATATAAAAATGATTAATTAAAATATAAAGTCTAAATATATATAAAATAGAGAAATTTATTCTGCACTTTTTACTCTCGTTAAGAAATTCATCACTTGCACTGCTACAGCCTTATTTGTGTAGTCTTTTTGTGCCTCTATCTGTTTCTATCTTTTGCTCCTCCTCCTCGGATAACTTATGCAAGTTATGTAATCACTGCTGTCTGTTGGCTGTGTTGAATCTTTCTTTCTAGCCAGTTTAACAATCTATTCAGTGATTAATGCATTTACCTTTCATTGAGAATTTCTCTGAAAGTGATATTACATTGTCATTAAATGGATTCATTGCTTGTATTTCTACAGCCTTATTTAAATGGCATTTATCTACAAAATTTTCCATTTCTTTCTACATTTTATGTGTCTTTGAGGTTACTTGTGCATGGCAAAGCTCATGAGGGCTGTTTGCCTTAGGGCAAGGGTGCCGTTTTAGAGGACTTTGAAAGTGACCATGAAGCCAGCCCATTTTCCTGGGTTTGAACTGGGGTCAAAATACCAATATTCATTGGTTTTAACCACTCTTAGGTATATTTAATGTCATTTGGATAAATAAATTTCTTCTTTCTCTCCTCTAGAGTTTCTTACTGGTGCAGATCTATCATTTCAGTGGTTGTGAACTCCTAGCAATGTTTCTCCACCTGCTCTTTGATGTTATCCTCATTCCTCTTCACTCCTGTAGTCTTCCCCATGGACGCAATTCCGTCAACAATTGGAAGTCCTATTCATGAGCAAATCCCTTTAAAATTCCAAGAATACGTGCCGTTTTCTTCAAGCAGAATTAAGGGTTCTTTTGATTGTCTTGAATCATCACTGAAATAGTGCATTGGTGAAGCTTTTCATGTTTGAAACACCTGCTTATCCATGCAATGTAGTGTTAGGAGGAAGAAACGAGATTTTAATAAACGAGATTCCTCCAGTAAGTCTTTTTTTTTTTTTTTTTTTTTTTTTTTTTTTTTTTTTTTTTTAAGCCCAAGAGGAGAGTTCATAATCCTCAAGGTTTTCAATATTATATTCCTTTGTAGAAGTTATTTCTTCATTGAAAGACTGAAGACTTAAAATTGATACACTCAGCTTAGAAACAGTCCAAGCATTTCTATTGACCTTAAAGTAACATTAAACTCACACTATCATTTTGTAAAGGGTGGTGTATTTTTCGAATGATACGTGAGTACGGGCTTTGCTTGGAAATCCTGGTTTGCACTAATTTGTATATATATGCAATATAATTTCTTTGTGGTACTTTTTTTCCAAAAAAGCCTTCTCTCATTTGCAGTTAACTTTCCGTGAGAGGAAACATTTCAAAATCTTGATCTTCTGCAACTGGGCAATCAACACCTCAGTTGCCTTAGCATCTGAATTTGCAGCTTCTCTGTGCTTCATAACATTATGGATGCCATTTTTCTTCTTAAAGTTATCAAATCATGCCCTGCTTGTCTTTAAATCCTCCTTTTTTTCTGTTGACATACCTATTTGAATTTCTACAAAAGTGCTTGAAGAATTATTTCTGTAAATGTCGCCATGTAAATAACATACTTGAACTCGCACTTTTTATTAAAAATTTAGTTGCAAATACATGTTTGTATGCATTTTTGAAAAATGTGTGTTTCTTTAAAAAATTGTAATTTTTTTTCCACGTTTTTGCTTTTTAAGTTTTCAACCAAATTTGACAAAACTTGCAAAAGATGTGACTTATCTTCAAGAGAAGCATCAAGCTGAAATTTGAAATGAAAACACTGAATTTTCAGTTGTACATGAGCATTTAAAAAAAGTAATTTTTTACTGCACGTGCACAAAACACATTTTCTTTCACAGTTTGGAGCCAAATATGTAGAACAGCAAAGATAAGAATTTCAAGTGAAGAATAAGGATATTCGGAAAGATATCGATGTTATGATGGGCTTTATTGTAGTTACTTTCTGGAACTAGTTGGATGGTAATAGTTTTTTTTTTTCAAAATTGTCATTTTCTTAATTTAGAAGTTCTTCATTTTTTCACCCAACTCATTTATTATGCTAAGACACTTTCCCTGTGATATATAACATCTGACACGTTTTGCTTATTATAGTGTCGGACTAGGTCACTAAATGCAATGGAGTGTCTGAAACCTCTGCCTAAATGTGTCTGATGATCAACTGAGTATCTAATATATGAATTAAATTAAGGAGGTTTGATGTCCTTCTATTATTCCTGGTATTAATTGTGTGTGTAGGGAGACAAAAAATGGGTGTTTTTTATGCAAATGCCTGGTAATTTGACAGCTTTTTAAATGAATATTTTTTACCTTGAATTGGTTTTATCCAAAGTGCATGTTTTCTAGTTGCTGCTTTTGATCTTTTCACACAATTGAGTTATTCCAGTTCTGTTTTTCAAATTATTATTTCATTCTTTCAAAGCTTTCTATAGCCCACTTTATCTTCCTTAATTTCCAGTTAATTCCTATTAAAATAGTTAAAAGTTGATATTAGGAAGGATGGACTAAGAAACCAGATATTTTTTAGTTTATAGTATTCATATGAGAGCTTAAATGTGTGTAACACAGGAGCATATTCTTTTGAGTACAGTAGTGCAAGAAGAGTAATTTAGTTATATTTATAAATAACTGTTAATTTCATAAGAAGTCCTAAGCAACTAATTATTGGCTGCAGTAATGCATGCTTACATTTATAGGATTATTATGAAAATAGAGTAGTGTACATTTAGATGATTTTATTATAATGTTTTTAGCCTGCTCTTTCCAGGCTGCATTTTCTTAATTACAAACAATTTATTTTATTTTTTAAAACTGTACTAAATCTGCTATTTCCAAAAAAAGAGAGTGAGTAGGGTTATTTACCAAAAAATGGTGGAAAATATTGCAATAGTTACAAATTGCAATTTTATCAATTTAAAAAGTTATTTTGTTGTTAGTAATCAAGTTCATGCAATGCAATATTGTCCTTATGTAATATGTTCTCTAGCAATCTATGATATACGCATGTTCGCATATCAAGTGTGTGAAATGTTTTGTGATATTCTGCACAGGCATTGAAACTTGTTTACAATTTTTACTTAAATATTTGTTTTATACTTGGCAAGGAAAGTATAGTGTTTTCCTTTTTGTATGACATTAAATTTTCTGTAATATTAAGAATATTGTGATTTGATTTTTCTGGTACATACGTATCAGTACAACCACCTTAATGGAAGTTTCCAAATATTGAGAATGTGTCAGAATCTGGCAGCTATGTGTGTAATGATTCTTCAGCTTTAACCCCTTCGCGCCAGGTAGCGCAAACGCTCTCTTATCGCAGAGGCCGGCAGTGTCTTACGCGAGCGTCTGTCCAGGGCCGGGGGCTTTTTGCTATTAAGCCTAAATCCATGAAATTTACGAAGTATCAATGCATTGTCTAATAATGCTCTATAGAGTGTTTAAATGGCATATGCTTTATAGATATTTTTATATATACTTTAATTACCTTATTTCTTGTTTAAATGCATATTTTACACATTTTATTTTCATTACTCACCATTTTATGACTTTTAACATTATGCAGCTGAAAACTAAATATATTACTTAAAATTCTCTTTTTGTATGAAAAATTTGAAAACAGGGATCTACACACAGTCCTATGTTACATTTTTAAATAAAATAATTGAAAATTATTTTATTTAAAACTGGTTGAAGCTTTCCGATTTTTTAGGCATTGCTGCTAGTAAAATGTAAACATCTAAGAATTACAACGTATCGATCACGACTCATTACGCTATTAAAAAATGGCGTTGCAGGCATGGGATTCATTGAAAAGTGCATTTTGATTGTGGGTTTCTTTATAATTCTCATCAAAATTGTTAGAGCAAAGAAAAAAAACATTTCTTCCACTGTAACAGGTAAATACTTCGAAGAAGTTGCTCCAGATTCATCCTCAGGATATTTACTCCTCTGATACAGATTAGTCTCTTCAGTAATTAAGTTCATTATTGTATCATCAAAATAATACCTAAAGAAATCAACTTCTTCTTCAACCGAATTATCCACTTTAATTCCAAGAACAGCTTTAAATGGTAATTCCGATAAATTTTCTATTGTGGATGACCATGGAGAAGTACTTGCTTTCGACGTACTCGGCATACAGATGTCCGAAATGTCCTCATCATCATTAGATTCGCCAGATTCTTTATGATCAGAATATATCATAGTATCACTATCACTACTATCAGAATCTGTTTCAGAATCAATATCTGAAATATTTTGCATCATTTCTGCTATTTCATGCTCTGTTAAACATTTTCGACGCTTCAACATTGCAACGATAAAAACAGAAAGAATTCATGTCTAACAAGATCTAATTATTTTCTAAAAACTGAACTGCAAACAAAAATACCCAACGCTTTAGCGAAAATAAAACTTCTCTACTTACAATAAACAACTACCACGTACGAATTTAAAGAGACGTCATAAAGCATGCCATTCGAAAACATTTATTTCCCCTTTTGTTTATATAATCAAAAACACGTGTATGTGATTCAGCTCTAATGTACATGTATCTGAAACCATATGGACATACAGTGCCATCTTGTGGCAGAAATTATAGTTTTTAAAACGTTCCAGGACACTGGCACAAATACGTGACAGTCGGGGCTGAACGGGAAAACGCTCTGGCACACCTGCGTGTTGGCCGGGAAGTGAGTGTGTTCGTTGCTGGCACGTAGACGTGACAGTCGGCGCGAAGGGGTTAAAAAGCAACATCAGAGTTTTCATGGGTGTTCTTTTTGCTGTACTCCAAGTTCCAAAAGGTTTTACAGATAAATCTTGATATTTTTTCTGTCAGTTTTTAAATTATGCACTTGTGGAACGTATTTGCTTGCAATGGAAGTAATATATCTACTGGAGTACAGAGTTGTGTTGCAAATTTACTAAAGAGCACAATTGCTTTGAATCTGTTTTTAAAGTCATCCATGAACTATCCATCAGGACAAAATAAATAAGAATGTTTTTATGAGTTTTTTATTTATTTTCAGATAAAAACGTAATTAGAATGCAAAATATGCATAAAATAATATGTGTATGTAAATAAAATCAGTATTCTTTTGGGGGTAAAAAATCACCAAACTATGTAAAGGTGGTTGGACTAATACGTAATTACCAATTTATTTATTTATTTATTTAATGTTGCATTTGAAATTAATTTGAGCCTAAAATATTTAATTACAGTAATTCGTTCATTTGATGTAAACAAACCTGGTTGTGAAGTTGAAGATTTAAAAGGAGGAGTTGCAGGTGGAAGTATTTTAAGAGGTGTACTAAAGGTGATTAAAAAATTATCTTCATTATATGATTGGCTTTAGTCAGGTGCTTATGTATATTACACAAAAAGAATTAATGTTTTTCATAGTTTTTATATTAATCTTCTACAAAATTAGCTATATCAGTATAATGGGTTGGAAAGAAATTATACCCTGATAAGGTGGCTCAAATGAAAGCCCCATGCATTGCACAGGTTAGCATTGAAGATGCATGGAAAATTTGAATAACATACCTTAACAAAAACAGTTGATCTGTGGATTAATGAAGAATCTCTAGCAAACAGAGAAATGAATGTGGGGTACTCTGCCTTTGCATGCTGTTTAAATTTCATCAAGATAGCACCTCCGTAAATGTTGCAGAAAGCCTCAATGGTCTTTACGGTTAATGCCACAACCTATCATCAGTGCTGCCATTCAGTTGAATGATTCTGGAAAAGAAGCTTTAATTTTTTATACCATCCTAAATGTAGGAGATCTACAGCAGTGGATATGAACTTGCCAGAGATGTTAGTGGAAACCAGTCTTCAGGTAATAGAAAAATTAACTGAAAAGTTCTGAATTGTCCATATGAGCACCATTACATGTTTTCACAATTAGGTAAAGATCATCACAATTAGGTAAGATTAGGGAAAGAGGAGTTATGAGACCATGTGAGCTCAGACTTAGCAGAAAAGGTGCTGTGTGATTGTATGCATTTCTGAGTTTTTATGCAAAGAATTTGGACCATACTTTAAGTGCATTAGGATATATGATGAAAAGGCCTATATAACATTGCTAGGCCCTGGAAATGATGGGTTGGGAACACAGACTCATTACCAACCTTAAAACAAAGTCAAAATCTCTATGAAGTTTTCCTGTTGGTTGGTGGTATATGCAGGATGTTACTGAGTTCTCTGAAACAATATTAATATCACTGTCATTTTGAACTGCTGGCATTTTTATGCATGCAACTTTAATGTCAAAGCAGCTAACACTGCTCAATCACCAGGAAGTTTTCTTAACAGCAGGGTAAAGTTTGGCCATTTATATGTAGACTTACCTGCAGAGCCTATATCAGACTCAAAAATCAAATATTTTAATATCCCATAAAACAGAAAATTTGCAGGAATTTTGTTTGCATTATTAGATTATGATTACTACTTTAAAGTCTTAGCTTGAGTTGATTGCCAAGTTTTAAGTCCTTTCATGTTTGCATTAGTTGAAGGGAATTTTGGGGCATTTTTTGCCTTGCTGCTGATAGGCTAAATTATCTGCAGCAGTATGTGATAACTGCAAGAGTATTTAGATCTCAGAGTAGAATGTTATGCATTGGGGTTAATTTTTCAGACTGATTATGCAAGAGCATTTCTTAAAAAAAGCATCATTTAGTGTCAAAGCAAGGCTTCTGCGAATTGCTGCTATATGTGTGGCTTAATCTGTAGGCTTTGGCATTAGTAACTATCATTGTTTCTGGTCAGTAGAGCATTTTTTAGTTGGTCAGTTATAAAGTAATTGTTAATATTGAAAACGTTTACTCCCTGTTTTGCATCTAAATATCCACATTTGTACAAAGATGGCATCCAGTAGCTATTCAAATGATGGAAAAAGGTTTTGGCTGCTGATAGTGCATTTTAGATTGATTTGTGCTCACATATATAAGGCAAGTAACTATTTTTATTGCTTTTAATTAACACAAATTTTCTTTCTAGCCCTTTAAAATATATCTTTGTCTCGATTTCAGTTTTTATTTGTTTATATGTATTCATTTGTACATATATGCACATAAATATTTTCTTCAATTATTAGGTTGGTCAAGAAATAGAAGTTCGACCTGGCATTGTCACCAAAGATGATGAAGGAAAATTAATGTGTAAACCCATTCATTCAAGAATTGTATCCCTTTTTGCTGAACAAAATGATTTAATGTATGCAGTCCCTGGGGGTTTAATAGGTATGTTACTAGTTTCAGCTGATAGTGCCTTTTATATTGTCATTTTATACTGATTGTATTAATTATACATAATATTTATTCACATGTCCTTTCACTAATGAATGCTTGTAAGTTTGGTATCTTTTGTAGAATTTTTTAGCATACTTTTTGTTTGTTTATTTCTGTCCCAGTAAATTTTGATTTTATTATTTTGCATTTTAGCTGTATTAAAAACAGTAGATGACTTTTGTATCAGAGAAAATGAATGTATTATACATTATTTAAATAAAATTGTGTTTGAGCAAAAGAAGAATCTATTAAAAAGATCATTTTTGAATTAAAAATGTGAATTAAAGTTATTTAAAGAAATGGAGTTCTAATTATAATGATTAACTTGGAGTCAGGAGCTAATAATTGATGACTCAAAATTTTTATTTTAAAGTGAATAGGCTGAAGACAAAACTATTGAAGATATTACACGCAAAGTGTTAAAATTCCTCCATTTTGGATGGATTGCCCAGAAATCTGGTTTTTTTCAAGTTGAGGTGTAGTTTAAGATATGTGGAATTGCTTCGGAGGAAACCAAATTTAACTACTTAGTATCACAGTTAGAACTCAAATATGTTGGGAACATCTAGGATATCGTAACAAATACTTTCGCTACGAGATATTCAAAATCCAAAGCAAGGCTTCTGGATTTATTTAAGGAAAGTGAAAGTACTCGAATTAAAAAACTTATTACAGGAATTGATTTCGGCAACTTGAAGCTCAGTTATTGCAAAAATTAAAATCTTTTGTAACATTGGATGTTTTAAAAAATGTAATCAAAATGTTATGGTTGGAGAAATTGCCAGATTCTATGCTTAATATAATACTTGTTAGTGACGAAGATTTACCCAATTTGACGATTATGGCTGATAAAATTTCATATATTACACATTCTATAATGAGACTTGTGGTGTATCAACAGCTGGTAATTGCCCAAATACAGAACTGTTAATGAAAATTCAATCTCTTGATCAGCAAATTGCCCAAATGACTGTTCATCATATATAGAGACCATGATTTAGGAACAACTCACAGTCCGGCAGACAATCTCACAAAGATTTATTCCTAAAGGAAAACACTGTTTTTATCATTTCCATTTTGGTAACAAATATCATCAGGATAAATGTACTCAGCTGTGCAGTTGGCCAACTGGTAGGTCATCCAGTCAAGGAAACGACAGTATGCAGCAGAAGAGGCGGCAAGCTCTACTGTCGATAATGTTCTAGAGTGTCACGAATTTTGCCTATTTATAATGGATAAAAAAATCGAAAAGTGCATTCCTTAGTGGATAGTGGGGCAGACATTAGCATTTTACCTGCATGTACTCGAGACAAACAATGTGTGGATTTCAAGGTGTATGCAGTGAGTGGTACCAAAATTGAAATGTATGGTATAAAACTGTTAGGCATGAATTCCAGTTTTCATTTATAGTGGCCAAAATTAATAAAGGTTAAGTAATAAGGTAATAATGGGCTCTACCATAACATAGTTACTGGGAAGGGAGTACTGCTGTGGCTTGAGCTTATGCAGAAACAGAAATTCAAATAATGGTTAATATTGTTTTGTGTTGTTTTTGGAATGGCAACGAAAAGATTATTGAGTTTTATAATTCTAAAAAAAATGCTTAGGTTAATGGGTGTTTATGGTTGCTAAGAGCTTTAATAAAGATTATTTTTAATTCAAAAATGTGGATTAAAGTTATTTGAGGAAACATAGTTCTAATTATAAACATTAATATGGAGTCGGGAGCCAATAAAACCTTAGCCATTGTTTGAAAGAATCTGAGTGTTAGTTTGACTTTTTAAATAATTTGAATATTGAGTAAAACTTTCAATAACCTTTTATAAGTTTTAAAACTGAGGTTAAATTGCAATTGTGCATTTTTGCCAACTACCAACCACAATGGACCTGTTTATACAAGGCATTCTTTCGATAAGCTTTTGTAAAAATGGAGTTAATGCAAGACCTTTTATAAGCTGTTCAGAAACTGATTTCCTTTTTCTTACTTTCATAAGTCACTGCAATTCATGATGTCCTAATTGTGAATATGATAATTTTGTAATCAAATGGCTGGATATATATATATATATTATATATTTATATATGGAATAGATGTAGAACTGATGTGTCAGATATGTTTTCTGAACTTGTGAAAAGTGATTAGCTTAATGTATGATTCCGTTTTTTGTGCTACCTTTAAGAATGCAGGCAAAAGCATTTGAAGCCATCATACCTGTTCAAATTTACCTCCAGTCTTACTTTTCTCTGAGGCTGCTTTACTTTCTAATTATGGTAATTCTGAATGATGGACACTTTTTAAATATATTTTAAACCTATGTAACTAAAGGAGCTGTGTGTAGTTTAAAGTTCCACTGAACTGCCTAACTCACATAATTATTTAAACATATATAATCCATTTGTTGCGACTATCGAATTTCTAATGCGTGACATTAAAGAAAACAGCTCGGTCTTTATATCACTGACTGGAGAGAATATAATTGCTAGATAATTTCAACATCAGTAATAAAACTGAAATCCGATATTGATTGATTGGGGCTGTATCATCCATGGCTGATTTGTGGTAAAATTTAAAATGTGTTGCCTTTCATTAGGTCATGAAACATTGTTACTCAAACTACATTCTGCTGATTGATAAGAGTACTCCTTTGAAAACATTATACTGTTACATATTTAGTAGAAATTCATTGCAATAAAGATACATAGATGCATTTCTTCCATAAATGCCAATTAGTTTAAGAAACCAGAAGGGAAGTTAGTTGAAATTTGTTTTTGGCAGATGCTTGGCATTAATTGTGGTGACTTTGATAAATTGTTTAATAGATATCAACCCTGAGAAGCATTAGGTTTGTAAAGTCAGCAAGGTTGAATGCAGGGTTGCCATCCTACCTGTAAAACCGGGAAACGTCAGTCAATTTAAATATTTTAGTCAAAATCTGGAAAAGTTAGGGAATTTCATACTGAGATCCCTCAAAAAAGCAATTTTTCTGCGAACTTCAGAAGAGAGAACTCTCTTGGGAAATCATGTATCTCATGAACGTCATTAGGAAAGCTGGCATTGAGCAAATTTTCGTAGCACCAATCAAAAAGCAAGTTTCCATCATCTTTGGTTTCCAGTAACCTCGAAAATTCAGAGATGCACATGTGCAGTGCTTTTAAACAAAAGTAAATGCCCCCCAATTCTTGTATCAAAACAAAATCTTTTAAACTATTCCTTAAATGCCTTATTTTTCATTTTGCAATAAAATAAAAAAAAAATTATCATTCATCTAGGCTAACCATTTAATGTATCTATATTCGCCAAAATATCATCGATTTTTTGTAAGTCACTTTTTAATCCTTAGGTAATTAACTTAATTTTAATTATGTTTGTATCATTTAATGTGTCTTCTTTCTTCTAAATTTATTTATTATTAGTTAATAATACTTTCGAATTTCAGGCAATTTTCTCTGCCATACTTGTGAAATTAATTATAGCAGTAATATGACATATCATCACGAAATGTAGTGCACATATTTTTTACTTAAGTATGCTGCTAAATAAATAAAAAATACTTGAATTTACTTTAAAACATCATTAAATAGAGTTCTTTCTTTAGCTTCAAAATGTCTGTAGAAAAAGACATTTTAAAATGCAGATTAGGCAGATTCTAATCTCAATCCACAGTGGAGAAAACAACTTCTATTATAGTTATAAAAGTAATGCTTTGGGGAATATACATATTATGTATTGGTATATAATTGGCAAATTTTTGTGTTTTCGAGTAGTACCATAATTAATTTATCCTCAGCAAAGCCAAAATGCACTTTTCGAATAGCATGGAATTTTCTTGAATCACACCTGGAAAAGTCAGAGAATTTCATTCGCCTGTTGGAATGGGAACCATTATGACATCACATGGAAATTATTGTTGCGCTGCCTAATATTACAGGAACAGAAACTATAATACTAAAAAAAACTGTATTTTCTCTTCAAATTCATTAAAGATTGGGGGAAAATTTGATCATACTTTAAAATAAAGATTTAGGAAAGCATCAGTAAATTTTAAATATATTAAAAAATTATATATACACTCCTTTGTAAAATTGCACACCAAGAAGGAATCGTCATAATTGAATGCAATTTAATACACAGTTGAGTGGTAGTGGTACAAATAAATGATTAAATGTTCAAAGCAAACAAACAAGAACAAGAGATCAGAATCAGTATTTTGTGTGTGGCCACCACGCGCCGCAATAAGTGCTGCTGCTACACGACGTGGCATGGAGTCAAACAAAGTTTGAATGTCTGACTGAGGAAGAGCATTCCATATCGTTTGTACGCGTACCCAAAGTTCGTCTGCAGACGCAACAGGACGAGGATCACGAGCAAGACGCCGACCAATGACATCCCACACATGTTCAATTGGCGACATATCCGGGGAACACGCAGGCCAAGGAAGAAGCTGTACCTGCTGCGCTGCAAAGAAGGATTTAACAATCCGAGCAGTATATGAGGGCGGGCATTGTCCTGTTGAAATACAGCGCCTGGCAAGCTTTGAAGGAAGGGAACAGCTTCGGGCTGTAGAACTTCACGGATATACCGGTTGCTGTTCAGATTGCCCACAATTCGTAGCAATTGAGATCGTCTATGATATGCTATGGCGCCCCAGACCATAACTCCGGGTGTTCGTCCACTGTGGCGTTCGATAATGCACTCCGGAAGGTGGCGTTCACCGGCATAGCGTCTGACACGAATGCGGCCATCATGGTACCACAAATTAAAGCGGGATTCGTCAGAAAACACGACATGCTGCCAATCAGCACGCCAGTCTCTATGCTGATTGGCCCATTGTAGCCGCAGGCGGCGATGGTCGTGCGTTAGGGGGATCCTGTATAAAGGAGTCCGTGCGCGCAGTCCACACTGCAGCAGACGTCTACGAATTGATGAAGCACACAATGAAACACCTGTAGCTATTGACCACAGTGCTGCCAATTGTCTAGAGGAAGCTGTACGGTCCGTCCGCGCCATGCGGACCAGGTGTCTATCATCGCGAGCTGACGTCACATTTCGGGGTCCACTCCCGGATTTCCGAGTTGTCCGACACTCGTCCGTCCACTGCTTCCAAACGCGCATCACTGTGCTGCTGTTACGCTGCACACGAGAGGCTACTGCACGATACGACAATCCAGCTTCACGAAGGCCGATGATTCTCCCTCGTTCAAACTCTGTAAGTTGTTCAAATCTCGCTCTCTTTCGTCGACGAGGCATAAGTACAGATTGAGTTAACGTTTACCACTAGCAGATAACCACCGATAACCATACACGCCTCGCTACAGCCGTCTATTTATTCGGATCCATCAGCCGTTCAGAGGGCGCTGCTCAGCATACGCATGCGCTATGGATTTGCAATTCTAATCATTTGCATATCATGCACTACTTTGCATTTCCTGAAAATTTCAGCTCACTCGCGTAAGTCCTTCATGGTGTTGCAATTTTCACAAACGTGAGTGTATTAAATGGGTGCTGACAAGAAAAGTAAAATTACGTTTCACATATATATGTATCCTTAATTGCTATCTGTTCCTCTCTCTCTTTGCACTTTGCATATATGTATGCAGTTGTACTTTCTTGTGGTGATAGAAACATCTGAAGAGGTTTCTTTATATTGGACAACACATTTAATCACATTTAAATATGTATATACTATATTTAAATATGTTACACACATAGAATAAGCTCAGTTATCTTTAACATAATACAGTTGTCTTTCATTGAATATGCCTTACGTCCAATTGCCAACTGAACATGTCAGAATTTTCACGAGATGCAGCTGAGTGCCATCTGGCGTTACATTCTCTCGACCATTCTGCATTTGCTTGAAAATTTCAGCTGGATAATGTGAATATGCTAAGTAAACTATGACCTTTCAAGTGTACTTTATTATCTAAACAGAACTTTTGATTATAATCTCTGTACTCCAGACGTTTGATTAAAAAATTACACTTGGATTTATTTATTACTTTTAATTTTCAAAGAGATTACCAAAGAATGTTTAGAATAGAGGTTATGATATTTTACAGTAAAATTTTTTCTATGATTTTTATTTTATTAACTGATAAATTATTTATGTGCAAAATTAAAAATAATAAAAGTAGGTGATTTGATTTGATTTATTTAATTATGGCAAAGCACACTAGGGCTATCTGCCTAATTGGAGGGATGCCTTCGTGGAGGACTTTCTAAGGGAAACTGGTTCTCGTATACATGTTACACATGGGGTAAAACCACGAAAACGCCCATGCAGCCAGCCCGTTCACGAGATTCGAACCTCGGACCGAACTACCAGTGTTCAGCGACGTTACCGCTCGGCTGCTGGTGAGCTAATAAAAGTAGGATTGGATTGTTTAGCAGTGTTGGAATAAGTCAGCACAGTAGAATTGGAACTGCCTCAAAATATTGCCAGTTTGTTTATTAATTCTTTTGAGACCATCTTGGCTGTTCATTACATTCTAGTCGTGACTAAAAGGTGCAATCTACTAAACTTTCTCTCTTCTAAAGAACCACTGGTGTAATGCATTGAAATATAGATGTAGTTGAAATGCAGAAAGTATTGAATGTGTGACTTCAGCATTGAGGTGGTAGTATAAAATTAATATATTTAATAAATATTAATACACCTTTCCTGCATTATAAATTTTTCAGTACTTTTGAGTTGTGATTTACTTTTAAGTTCAGAACCTTTCATCACAGTTGTAGCTATGTAAAAAGTAGAAAGTATGCTAATATTTTTTAATTCCTTCTTTTTATTGTTGAACTGTTTATTATGTGATATATGCCGTGTCTCTTTGCAAGCAAAAGCATAAAAGAATGGTCACATGTTATTATAAAAAAGCTTTTATTAAAAATAACCTTAATAATTGTATTGCATATGCAGGTGTAGGAACTAAAATTGATCCAACTTTATCTCGAGCTGACAGAATGGTGGGTCAAGTTCTTGGTGCTGTGGGAGCACTGCCCGAAATTTTCACTGAACTGGAGATATCATATTTTCTTCTTCGTAGGCTGCTTGGTGTTCGCACTGAGGGAGATAAGAAAGGAGCTAAAGTAATTTTTTTCCTTTGTTAAGTAAATGATGTGCTTTTTGCTACTCTAAACTGTATAATCAGTAAATTTGCTATCATATTCATCATTTACAATTCAAATTTACTTAAAATTCAGTTATATGTTCAGTTTTCTCTTCATTGTATAGTTTAGAATTTACAGGCCCCTAAGTATCGAATAAGCCAGTGAAGCTATCAAAGGCCTGTAGTATGGCCGAGCTTAGAGAGAGAGAGGCAAACGTGCAATAGACAGAAACTCTGAGGCTCTCTCTCGAAGTTGGTGGAACTTCGACTTAAATACTACTCTTCCTCATTTGCATTAAACGTGATTCTAAAAATATGTTCTGATAGGAAATTGTAAGCTGAAAATAAGATGGACATGAAAGTAACTCTTTAACTAAAAACAACTGTTAAAAACTTAAACCTTACGAACTAAAAGTTATAGTTGAATTGAATATGTTTGGAACTCCTTTAAAAAAATAAAAGCAAGTTTGCCATATTTTAGCATTACAGAACAAAGTTCAAGATCTGGACATCTAGATCTTTTATCTGTCCCACCCCAAAAAAGTTGTTTTTTTTTAAAGCCCAAGGGCATTAACCCAGAAGGGGTATTAATTTTATTTGGGCATTTTGCCTTGGTTCACTATAAATGTCGGTTCACTTTTCAAATTGTTGCCGCCAAATATTAGAGCCCTGTGTTGCATTAAAAGAAATTAAGTAATGAAGAATCTGCATAAATGTATGTATGTTTCTCGCATTGTGATAAAACAATGGTACCTAGAACCATCAAATTTTGAATAATGTAATCTTCCACTGAATATGGGCATCTGGAAGCTCTAATTTGAAAGTTACTTTATTATCTATTTCATATTTTGTAACACTTAAATAAATTTTTGATTATCAAACTCAATGATTTCAAATGAGCAATGGCAATACTGTACGGAAAGAAAAACATTTTTATCTCCAACATACAAGACTGTGTATCGGAAATTCTAAAGAAATGCTCATTTCAGAATTATTTTGCAATATTGCTGTTGAATTGAATTTTATGGCTTAAGTGCAAAGAGCATATTTAATAAATAAAGGCAACACGCAAAACATTAAAAAACTAACGTAATTTTACGTAATGTAAAATCTGAAAACATTCAAAATTTTTTTTTTGTTGTTGTTTTCCTTTTTCAGGAATTTAATGCACAGTACTTATCCTAACATAATAAGCCATACCACCCAGCTGGCAAACCGGCAACTAAAGAATTAAATAAGCTAAAAGACGAGTGGGAAAATTAAATGTAAAACTGAACTACTTGTCCTCGGACGAAATCCATTGACCTTGCCAAACTTGGTCATCTCAACCTTTATTCAGAATAGGGACATACGTACAGTAAAATAATATACACTAAATCAAAGAAATCTTCAATTAATAACAAAGCGGGTGAAAAATAATAGATATACATATTTACAATACATCAACTCTGTTTTGGGTGTTCACGGAAAGCATCTGCATTATCATAAGTACTTTACATATATGTAAATATATATTACTAGTAACAATTTAATATTGAATATATAAATTTTAAGCATAAAATTACGTAAGATACAATAATACGCCGAACAAATATTAATTTAGAAGTCAAACAACAAAAATCAGCATTATATTTTCAAATTTTCACAGGACTAGTTTCGATGGTTTTATAACGCGGATTTTTGTTGTTTGACTTCTAAATTAATATAAAATTACTTATTGGATAAGTCAAACAAGTGTCAACTTAATATTTGTAAACTTTGCAGGACTAGTTTTGATAGTTTAACTATAAAACAATCTGCCTCATCTGCCTAAGTGGAAAAGAATGAAATAAGATAAGGTGATAAGAAATTTAACATTACAGAACACAAAGGAGGCATATGTTATCAAAAAGGTAACACAGAAGTCCTCTGTTGCCACACACTGTTGGTCCAAAAATCACATTCTCCATTTTTCTGGAGCCAAAATTATTCAAAAAAAAATCTTCCATTTGTGAACTGGATTTTCTAGAGTTGCTTCCAATTCGAAAAGAAAAAAGAAAAATTCTGATCTAGTTAACAACCCTAATCCCAATCCATCTTTACCTTCAGCCTTTAAGGAAATTATGTTTCATTTTCTGTTTGTTTCATCAATAGATGGTGCCAGTAGTTTAACTTCTGTCAAGCCTTTGTTATCGTATTGCCATATCTTCTTCATTTGCACTTAGGCAGTTGAGGTAGATGGTTCTGTAACCATAGAAACTACAAAATGTACAAATATTGCACTAAATCTTGTTGTTTGACTTCTCCAATAATTATTATTAAGTGTGTTATTTTAACCAAAATGTAATTACTTACTGTTAAATCATTTTATTTGTACAACATAAAACTATGCAACAAATATTAATGCAAACAACTCTCTGCAGCATCAAGCTAATTCAGTATTCATTAGATGAACATAAGTCAAATTAAATGATAAAATGATGGTTAAATGCAAAATGTTCATTTTTGTTTAAATTTTTCCTTATTTTAGCTATTCATGAATAACACCTTTGCTCTAAAGCAGTTATAATATTCTGTTCTGATGTTTTTTTTAGTGAAGGGATAGTCAGTCCAAGGCTACAACTGTATTTAATATTCTTTTTGAGAAATATATCCGTTGTCTGTTGTTAATTTTTTCAACAACCTATTGCAGCTTGGCCTTCTTTCGTTTACTTTAATCAGAACCCTATTGATACATCTCCCAGTTGCATCTTAATCCCATTTCTTTTGCCAAAAAATAAGTACACAATATGGGAATGGATAATATGGTATTCAAGAAAAAGGAAGTATGCCATAAATCAATTTTTGTCCTGATTAGCTGAAATTTATTGTATTTCCATTTCAAGAAGGTGAAACTACATTATGTTCCTGCTGCCATGTGCAGTTCTTGGATAATTGGAACAGAAATTTCCCAATCCTGCCATCTTACCTGAATAGTAGAACTTGGTTAGTTTGTCATTTTGCTACTGCTGTAAGAAAACTGCTGGAACTGTTTTGTGTCTATAGAGAGTATATGGTTGTTTCCATTTTTTAAATTTCTTTCTATATCCACTTTAATTTAGCATTTACTGTTGCTTTATGTATTGGTAATTCGTGTATCTTAGTTCAGATGTTGGAAATGATAGTGATAATGTTGCCTTCGCCGGGAATCAAACTGCGGACTTCTCAATTACGTGCTGAGCGTGCAGACCACGAAGGCTCACTAACAAGGCAGGCAAAACGCTTTATATACTCCCCCTTTTAATCCTTTGTTGCTCAGTGTTCCACTATGTGAAACACCCAAATTGAATCGCTTCTGAAACCGTTAAATTCAACCGTAAATGGATAAAAATGCCCTTATTCAAACTTCAAACTTGTAATTCAAACTTCTCTTTTTAAATAGTCGATGGCAGCATATCACAGAGACCCAGAATTTTCATTTATGATAACTAATGTAGGTAGATAAATAATCATTGCTCAGTGTTCCACTACATGGAACACCCAACTTGAATCGCTTCTGAAACTGTTAAATTCAAACATAAATGAATAAGAATGCCTTTATAATATACTTCGAACTTCTCCTTTTAAATATTCGATGGCAGCATATCACAATGAGACCCAGAATTTTCATTTATCATGTGTTATTAAAATCCACTTATTTTCTACTAATTTTCTATATTTTTTTGGTGATACAAAAATATTTGTTTGAAAAACAATTTCTGTATAATTTTGATGGCTGTACTCTACATTATTTGTTATATATATTTTTTACATCTTTCATACAAAGAAGCATGCACAGAATCATTGAATAAAACGAGGTGTTCCATTAGCGGGAACACTGCACCTTTAGCGATCTCATGCTATTACGCATCAGAACATCTGTCTTAGGAGAAAACATCTGTTGTATACGTTTCCTATTTACGTTGTTTTGGGGGAATGAATTCAAACAAAGCAGTCTTGAGGGTTGAGATGTGGTTTGTGCTATGAAAGTCCTAATATGGGCATCTTCAAATTTTTGTGAGTAGTTTTCAGGCGGGAATTTTATCAGTAGTTTGAGTTATCTTTACTTAGGGAAGCTGCGTGAATTATTTTGCTATCGCTTTTTGGTCTCATTCCCGTTTATTTACTATAATTGTGTAGATATTTTTTGTGTATGTATATCTTATAGCCTATTTTTCTTTATTGTTAACATTAATTGCAGTTAATTTTTATTATTAATTTTCTGTAAATGGCCACGGAACAGAAGCTGCACAAAACAAGTTTTTTGTTCAAAACCTGCAAAGTTGGTTTATGCTTCTATCAAAAAGATGTGACATGCTTTGAAAATTTCACGATGCTACGAAATCGAAAAATTTGTAAATATTTTTGTATATAGGACGTGTATAATTTATCTCATTTATCCTTATATATTCAAGAAAGTTGTGTATAGCCAGAAAACCATGTATACAGCTATAATACAGTGTTTTTTCATTACTATACAAAAGCTTCTACTCATTTCCGTGCTTCACTGCAATGCTCGCTTAGTTGCACTTTTAAGAGCTCTGGTGGTGCAGTGTTCCACCTCATGGAACACCCACAGAATTGAAACGGTAAATGCAATTTGTACAAAATTTTATGTGTATACTCCTTTAGGCCTATATAAACTGAATACAACTTTTCTTGTTGAAATACCGACTTTAAAGTGCAGTGCACCACAAAGGGTTAAAGGGCGGCTGGGGTTTTTAGGGAAACCAATCACCAAACCCTGGGGGAGGAGAATCATCATTCAACACCTTTTTTAGTTTGGACATTAGACAGAGACGGACTTAGAGACATTGGGTATTTTTGGAAGCAGGCAAGACGAAAAATTAACAACTTCGCCGGTAATCAAACCGTGGACCTCTTAATTGCGTGCGGACCACTACACCACGATAGCTCGTTAATATGGTGGGAGAAGCACCTTACAAACTTTAGTTAAATTTTTTCTTAAATAGCAGTAGTTTTAACAGATTTTTCTTTATGGTAATCTCATGATATCATATAGTATTGTTTGGAGGGGGTTCTTTGAAAAATAATCTTTTTAGAAAGAGTTATGTTTTCGGCTATCCTGTTCTTACGAAATACTGAACATATATGGAATAATTTTTCCCAGATGAAAGGGGCTGTCCCTTAAAAAATGCATTGTGTCCTTTTTTTTAATTTTAAATTAACACCATGTTAAGGTTCTATTTCTTAAAATGTGCATATTTTGTTCAATGAAACTAATAAAAAAACATCAAAGTAAATTTTTGTGATTTTTTAAACCTTTACTTTGAAAATTTCAGTAATTTATCTATCTAAGAAGGAACTGCGTATGTTTGTTGATTTTAATTTGAAAGAATATCTTTTTGTATATAAATACTTTTCTTTAATGTTGTCATCAATTATTTTTCCTTTTTCAGGTTCAAAAACTAGCAAAGACAGAAGTTTTAATGGTGAATATTGGCTCACTTTCGACGGGGGGCAGAGTCTTAGCAGTGAAGGCAGATTTAGCAAAAATTAGTTTAACTAATCCAGTTTGCACTGAAGTTGGTGAAAAAATAGCACTTAGCCGCAGAATTGAAAAACACTGGAGGTAATAATTCTGTATCTAAATATCTGTTTACATATAATTGATTTATATCTGCTTCAGTTTTTTGACTTTGGTCGTAACATGTTTTATATATGGTGATCTTATTTATTTTTCAGGTTAATAGGATGGGGTATGATACGTAGAGGAGTTACAATTAAACCTGTTACGTAGACTTTATTGTATGAATGACTATTTTGTTAAATCAGACATAAAAGAATGGACTATATAAAACAAAAATGACAAATAAATAGATCAATATCATGAAATCTTTAATTTTTGTGTTACTGACTTACTTTTAAAATGTACACCTTCCTACATAGGAGAAATTTATTTTTCAAAACTGTGCCAAGATCAGCTGGATAAATTTTTGTTTAAATAAGCTTTATTGTTTTTGAAAATTTTCACTCAGAATTTTTTATGGAATGTTGTAAGTTGTAATTACTTTCTGCCACTTTAGTTGAAAAAAATCTACAAATTTTTGCTTGGCCAATACCTTTCCCATGACATTTTATAAATTTGAAATTTTAATATGTATGCCCAAACAGATTGATCTAGATCACAATGAGATGTCAAATTAACACTTAAATAATCACACTATACTATTTATTTTCTGTTAATCGTGGTTGTATGTTTGCTGATTGATGTGTGATAATAGATTGGTATGAAGAGAGAAATTAGTCAGGGTTGCCACTCAGGAGAATGAAATTCCCTGACTTTTCCAGGTGTGTTTGAAGAAATTTCCAGTGTATCCGTGTAATTAACGTTGGCTGTGCTAAGAGATAAATTAATTATGGTATTGAAAACGCAAAAATTTCCCAATTACATATGACTTATATCCCTTAAGCATTACTATTGTAATTATAATAGGAGTTGTTTTCAACACTGAAGACTGAGATTAGAACCTGCCCAATCTGGAATAAAATAAGGCCCCCCCCCCTTTTTTTTTTTTTTTGCAGACATTTTGAAGCTAAACGAAAAAATTAAATAAGGAGGGCAGAGGTGCTTTCTCAAGCCAAATGGCCAGGTGGTGTATATAGATTTGATATCTATTTCCAAATGATATTCCAAAACACAGCTATGAGAGGGAAATCCCTGCATAGTTTCTTTTCAAAAAAAAAAAAATCTTGCAGGTCGTCTCAATGTTTTTCGTGTGGTTTCAAATTCACCTTACCTGTAGGTGTTTAGTATACATCAGAAACCCTATTATGCCAGAGAGCCCTTTGTATAGAAGGGCTTGATCAAAGCTAATATAGAGAAACCCAAGGAATTTGTTTCTAGGCACAGAAAACACCGGACATCGTCCCAGGAAGTGAAAAGGTGTTTCCTCTTCTTCTCCACAAGCTGGGCAGAGAGGAGATTCGACAAGACCACATTTGTGGAGATGCTTGGCCATATAAGCATGTCTGGTAACAATTTGAATTACCTGGCCTGGCGTAAGGTGGCCTACTGAAGTGTATGAGTTTACCTGATAAGTGTACTGAGCACCAATTTAGAATGAGCACAGTCTGGTAGTTTAGACCATATATCATCATGTTTGTTCTTTATCCACCTTCTTACTTCTTTTTTAACAGTTTAATATGAAACTGGGTAAAATGGTTCTGGGCCAGACATGGATAGTTGCGAAGCATCTGTAGCTACTTTATCAGCTAGTTCATTTCTAGCAAAATCACAATGACCTGGGACTCAGACTAAACTAATGGTATTATGGGCCTGAGCCAGAGAATTGAGATCTTGAGTACAGTTCAAAACACAGTTTTGTAACTTGACACGATTAGCCAGGGCAAGGATGGCTGATTGGCTGTCAGAGAGAATATATATATTCTTATCAACTGTATTTTTGGCTAAGAACCCCCTGCCGACCATATTGGTCGTCAGAACCTCGGCTTGGAAAACGGTTATTAATTTACCAAGGTATAGATGATATTTAATGAAATCTTCTTCAGATCCCTTGGTTCTTATAATAGCTCCAGCTCTGGTGAAGTTGGATTTTGATCCATCTGTGTAACATTCAATTGATCCTGTTGGAATTAGGTCAATTAGAGATTCTATCTCATTCCTTTTTGGTATATAAGTTGAGAATAGTTTATCTGGAACAATTGTTTTAGTAATTGCATCTTTGGGCATATAGATTATAGGAATCTCATTGCCCAAGTCCAGGCATATGTCAATGTGGCTTTTAGGACCGAAACCTGCCCTTTGACACCTTGTGCCATTTTTATTCAACCTATATATGGCTTTAATTGCTTCTCCACTCAGGAATAATTTCAAGGGTGGAATTTGCAGTAAAAATTCTAATGCAGCAGTAGGGATACTGTTTAAAGCTCTACTAATGCATAGGCAAGTAAGTCTTTGCACCTTTTGTAAAATGTTTAAATACGTATGTGCCTTTGTTAATAACATTGATCCAGACCACGCATCCATAAGAAAGCATTGGCCAAACTATGGCAGTATAAATCCATAGAGTAGATTTTGGGTTAAGGCCCCATTGTTTACCAACAATTTGCCTGCAAAGTACTAGTACATTTGTGGCTGTTTGTGCCTTTTCTTTTATATGGGTGATCCATGTGAGTTTACTGTCCAGGTAACATCCTAGGTATTTAATGCATTCCTTACGTCTGATAATCTGGTTACCCAGATATAAATCTGCCAGTTTCCATTTCCTTCTCCACGTGAAAACTATGACCTCAGATTTTTCAGCAGAGAAAGATAGGCCATTTGTTTCACCCCAGTGTGAAACTTTATTCAAGATCTGCTGAGCTTGATTGTGTAGGGTTCCAATATCAAAACCCTGTAGTAACACAATAAGGTCATCTGCATAAGCCTGTGACATGCCAGGTTCCTTCCGTAGAAGTACTAAGATTGAGTCGAATACCAGGTTCCACAGGAACGGAGAAAGAATACCACCCTTTGGACACCCTTTAGTAATCTCTCTTTACTTCACAGTCAGTGAGACTAACGCAGATATTCCTGTTTTTAATCATAAAGATGACTCATCTAGTTATCATAGGGTGAATATGTCTTCCAATAAGGGCCTTATGTATTTTCTCAAAACCAATGTTATCAAAGGCTCCTACAATATCCAGTAGAATCCCAATGGCAAAGTGTCCGTCTATAATTGTTTTTTCTATTCTCCACACGAGTTGGTGTAATGCCAACTCAGTGGAGAAGCCAGGCCTAAAACCGTGTTGGTCTAAGCCAAAAGTTTGGTTCAGATTATTATTTGACTGGAGGTGTCAGAAAATCAATCGCTCTAACAGCTTAAGCTGGAAGGATGTTAGTGTAATCATTGTAAATGAGTTTGGTTTCTCATATGTATCTTTTCCTGGTTTGGGAAGAAACACACCTCGTGAAGTTCTCCACACCTTAGGAACATATCCTAAAACCAAACTGTATTCTAATATGTCCACGAGAATGTGGCCAGAAATATCCCAGCCTTTCTGAAGCAGAATTGGGTAAATGCCATTGTTCCCTGGAGATTTAAAGGGAAGAAATACATCTAGGGCCGCTTTAGCCTTTTCAATGTTCACTATTGTCTTAGCAAAATCCAAATCTAATGGATTATGAAGTAGTTCCAATGGATTTTCCTGGGGGTCAGAAGTGACACTTGTGTCCCCCAGATGAAAATTCAACTTGGTCGAAAGTGTATCCAAAGGGTTTATAGTATAACTGTCATCTGGTCGCATAACCGATGAGAGTTGAGACTCCTGAGATCTTTTAAGAATCTTATGTACTCTGGCAGTCTCATGGTAGGACAGAATATATCTGCAGAACGATCTCCATAAGTTGTATTTAGTTTTCCTGATTTCACTTTTAAATTTCCTTTGTAGAATTTTGAAGTTAGACCAGTTAACTTCAGATTTATTTCTGACTGCTTTCCTGTGAGCTCTCCGAACCTCTAGGCGGAGGCTTTCAAGCTCCTTGGTCCACCAAACTCTCTTGCTAGGAGAGTACTTCCTTCGTTTGAGAGGCCATGATGCATGATAAGATTCAATAATGATATTTGTCAGATTGTTTGCTTGAGTATCAAGCTCGTCGACTGTACAATTATTGTCTAAAACCTGAAGGTTAATGACATTAGAAACCAGGAGTCCTTTAAGTTCCATGAGTTTTTGTCCTCTAGGATTAGTATCAGAACTGCCCCATGATAGGTGGTGAGCGTTAACATCACCACCAATAACCATAGGAATATTGTTTATTTCACAGAAACTCACAAGATCTATAAATTCTTGTGGAATGTTGTCATAAGCCATGTAAACCGAGCAAAAACAAATGTTTCCTCTCAGTGAACTGTTTATGTCCTTAGTTGAAATAGCAGTTAAGTCCTCTGATGTAAATTGAGATAATTTCATAGCCTTTATATTTTTAGAAATGTAAATGCTAGTTCTAGGTCTTTTATTAGGTCCCTCTGACGAAAAGAGGTGTGCGTTCATGGGCCTACCAAGGATTTTACCTTTGTACACCCAGGGTTCTTGGATTAAGGCAACAAAAGTGCCTCGCTTACCTAATTGAGCAGCTAAATTGTATGAAGCTGCTCTGCTATGTTGCAGGTTTAGCTGACTAATCTTAACCATTAAAACATGTTAAATGAGAGAAAAGAACTTGGATTTTAGGAGAGACTTAGTTAAAAGCCGCATTCTTAGCCCACGACTTCAAAGGAAGTAGTGACGGGAAAACTATTCAGATGTCTTCCCCAGAGCCTCCAAAGAAAGCTCTGGTTCCGACTCCCTTTCGGTCTCCCCTTCTGTAAACTGTTTCCTTGGAGGATCCTTGGGCGGAGGAATTGATTTCTCTTATTGTCTTGGTTCCTTCAGCTGTACACAGCCACGGGTACCACAAAAAAGTTTGAAATTCTGGACCTCCAGATAATCCATAAGCTCAGGTTCCACTCCCAGCACCAGAGTGTTACCTCCGTCTCCAGGGATAACTGCCTTGATGGGGATCTTCTTAACATCCAGGCCCTTGTTACAGGCATCAATGAGCTTGATGTTATCTTTTGGTGACCTGTTACCAGGAAACCAAGCGAAAAACTTTCATGGGGGGGGTCTGTCCCCGGGAGCCATGGCGTGATAACCGGGATGGTTTTCTTAAGGGCCAGGTAGATCATTGATTAAAGTCTAGGACATCCACAGTCTCCTGGTCCTCACATGCAATGTTGAGGCCATTCGGCTGCAGGACTGTCTTGTGGACCCTGCAGGTGGTGATGGAGCCATCAGTAATTTGGTCATCAATTATAGAAGTGATGAAGAAAAAATATTGCAATTGTCCTCTTCTTC